TTAAAATCTGAGAGTTTTTTGTGTGTGTGTGTGTGTGTGTGTGTGTGTGTGTGTGTGTGTGTGTGTGTGTCTGTATTATAGCAATTGAATATAATCTTGACAATGAAAGTTTAACATTGCCATTTGAATATGAGAAAATGAGCAATAAAATACAGGAAAATGAATCTAACTCCATAGCCTTAAACACACCCAAACCTATCTAGTGGTTTGAATGAGAAGTCCCCAATAGATTCATATGTTTAAATACTTGGTCCCCAGTTGGTGGAACCCTTTGGGTAGGATTAAGAAGTGTGACCTTATTGGAGGAAGTGAGTCACTGGGGATGAACTGTGAGGCTTCAAATCCTATGCCATTCCCAGTTCCCAGCCTCATGGTTATTATCTTGAGATAAGAGCTCTCAGCTTCTGATTCATTGGCATGCCTGCCTGCCTGCTGCCATGATCCACAAGGCAACAGAAAAGTAACTAAGACAGAGGTCAGTGGGAGAGAGTGGCTATTGCTATGATAGGCCTGACCTTGCTGTTCTGTGGAAAATGTGGACTCCTCTGGGACTATGGACAAGAAAGCTATTGAATGCTGTAAGCAGGGCTTTAGGGGCAAGCCCAGTTAGAGCTTCGAAGACAGTCAGGGAGGAGTAATAAGATTCTGCACCTCTAAGTGCACAGCAGGGACAGCAGCAGCAGCACCAGGTGCATGGCACAGGTAAATCCAAGCAGAAGCTGATAAAGGCCCCTTCCCAGGGATTTGATGGTCACCCGGGAAATGTTAAAGGATTGACAGTCATCAGAGATGAAAAGGAGCTCAAATGTATCCTACTCTTCTGAGGTATAGATACAGACACCAAAGCTGCAGACTTGTACACACTTGTCACCAGCTAAGCAGTAACAAAGGTTTTGTTTTTCTGCCTCTCATCCAATGCTCTTTCTGACACTATCTGCTTGATGCCACCACTTCCACCTTTTTGTACATAGATAATAAGAACACAAATATTCCATGACCATTAGAAGTCTATGTATGCTTCTAAACTTTATTCCAACAAGATTATTATCAAATGACAACCTACAAGGGCGTCAAAGGTTACAATGACTCTCCAAAGGTCCAGGGATTTAAAGGGTTTTTGTTTTGTTTTGTTTTTGTTTTTGCCAGAAGGGAATGCAGCAGAGAGCATTTTCACTTAACAACAAAGCATACATTATTAAAACTTTGTTCTAACTCTCGGTAAAGAGTTAACACTCATGAGAGAGAAATGAATGGGCTCAATAATTATTAGAGGATCAATTGTGTTGATAGTTCCCAGTAATTCAAACGTTAACTTTTTAGCACACAGAACCCCAGGACCAGATTACACATGGAACTGGGCCTCTCACGACATAATTAAAGCAAATGAGGTTATACATGGGCTGCCATCAAATGCAACCACTTCATTATAAGTAGAGATTAGGATTCAGATACCGGAAGAAGAGTTGGAGAGAAGGTCAATATATGTAAGCCACAAACCAGGAGTGAAACCCACCCTGCCAAACCTGATCTCAGACTTGTACTCTCCAAAACTGATACCAATATTCCTGTACAATAGTAGGCTATTGAGTTAAATGAAGAGACAATTGTGTCCTGTGTATAACTTTAGAAAACTCATTGCAGCTTGGTAGAAAAATGAGACTGTGAAAGCTAAGCCCGATTGTGGTTTTTTTGTTTTGTTTTGTTTTTGTTTTATTAAGAAATTTAGGTATTTAAAAAAAGAATTTGTAGCAAACATCTTGCATTAATGTACAGAAAAAAATGGACATTTTGTAGCATTAATGATAAAAGGTACAGAGATGTTTTAAGAACAAAGATGGATTTGATAAATATTGGTTGGCTGCTTTAGGTTGTACTTTTGAATTCTCAGGGGCATAGTATTCAGTTGCTTCTGAGGAGAATTTTGGTTGGAAATCTAAAAACACTGTACTAAATATATTCGATGCCTTCCAAATAGTCTTTCTTTTACAAACATATCCCGAGTGTGGTATCTCTGCCAGGTACTTCAAGGAAAAGCCAAGCATAACAGATACGAATTGGCTCTTCATTGTTCATTTTACAGGGAAACGATGCCTCTGGGCAAGGCAAACATGTAGGCAGGATCCATGGCCATGGAAAGAAGCCAATAAATTAAACCCCAGATCCAGACAACATTACTATGTATCACTTCTTAAAAGGAACCAACCACGCATGAAGAATAGTCTCAGAGACCAACCTTCTTTGCACACCTCCTTCCTCCCACATGAGCTGGACCACTGAGGTAAAGCATAACCAATCTAAATGTGTCCTTCCCCTGCCTGGTTGTCATAGCATATTCATTATTTAAATAAAACCCTACGGAGTACAAGGACAAGGGAAAGTCATCACTAGAAGCATCCTACCTCAACATGCAGGTGTAATTGCCCGTGTCATTGAGGAGGGTGGGCCGGAACCAGAGCACATCTTTCTCCTTACTGATGCGATTCTCTGGGAGGCGGAAGTTAATGGGCTCCTCCAGGTCCCGATCTTGCCTGGTCCAGTACCAGATAAGGGTAAGGCCAGAGGAATGAGCCGTGCTGTAGTTGTACTTCAAGAAGTGTTCAAAGAGGGGACACTTGATGCGAGCTGGCTCGTCTTCAAACACTTGGATTTGTCTCATGGTATCTAGTCCCCAGTCATCACAGCGTTCTAGAAAAAGAAAAAAGAAAGGGTAGATGAGTCATTTCCAAATAAACTGTCCAGAACACTGTCTCCTTAATATTGTCTGGCCTTTTCTAGGAGCCTCTTTCTCCAGACATCTCGAATAACTTCCCTCTGATAAACATACATAATAAGCACCTGCCATGAGAAGGAATTACTTCTCTCCATTTCTTTATCATTTTGTGCTGTATCTTTTGGTGACAGTTATCTGTGTCTTGGTACTGTGGCATCCTTCAATGAATGTCTTTAAAAGAAGACTTGGCTTTATAAACCACAGAGACAGAAAGGTCTTGATGATGAAATCATAGCTGAAAGACAATTTTTGTCTGAATGGAGAGAAGACACTTAGTTCTCCCCATGTCTCCTGCTTTTGGAGACAGACCTGTCCTTTTCAGCAGAAATATAATGCAAGCCACAAACTCAATATAAGATACCCACTTGCCACATTAAGAAGATAAAATGAAATATGATATTTTGTTAAGTGATAAATTCAATAAACCCAATACATTAATGCTCTTTTATACATTTACATTTTGTGTAGTAAATATTTAAAATTCACTGTATTTTACAGTTGTGGTGCAACTCAACCTGGGATGTCCATTCATGTCAAAGGGTGACCACACTGTGCAAACAAACTGCAAAACTTACAGGGGGGTAAATCTGTTAGTGTTTCAGTGATTGAAAAATAACATGTTAATGGTTTTTACAAGTTATACTATAATGAAAAGTAAGCACTGGTATATTCAGGAAAAAAGACATAATAAGTACTTTTGTTACTGGGAGTGAGATCAGAATTGTACAATACAGTTGAAAGGTACCATAAGTATACAGAAAGGATTCCATGGTGACAAAGTTCCTGCGAAAACCAATCAAACCACCAGACAACAGTTTTATTTATTCCTTGTACTCCTAATAGTCAGACATAAAAGCACATAATATATTATATAAATACATAAATATATAACATATATATTATGTAACATGTACAAAACATATATAAAATATAAAATTCATATAAAATTTAAACTGTATAAGCTTCCTTACATTCCAATTTACACCTACAATTTCCATGGTTTTTATAATAAATGGAAAATAGGTTTTTGTTTATTACAATATAAAATAAAATGGCAACTATGGATATGAAAGACTTTGTAGTGGTTTAAATGAGAATGGCCCCCATAGCTTCATATGTTTAAATACTTGGTTCCCAGTTACTATACCAGTTTGGGAAGGATTAGCAGATGTGGCCTTATTAGAAACCATAAGCCCAAGTAAATGCTTTCTTTTAAAAGTTGTGTTGGTCTTTGTGCATCGTAACAACAATAGAAAAATGACCAAGACAATGAAAAAGCAGATGAAGGAAGATCTCTGTGACTTTGGGACCAGCTTTGTCTACACAGAAACTTCCAGGCCATGAACTGATAAAAGGTGTTCTCCAAGAAGAAATACAAATGGCTAACAAACACTTTCAAAGGATGATCAATATTATCAAGCATATTTAAACGACTTTTGATTCTGTCTCACCAAGTTAGAATTACTATCATCAAGAAAAGAATTGACAAAAAATGCTGGTGAGGATTTGGAGAAAGGGGAACCCTTAGGTACTACTGGGGTGAGTATAAGTTGATGCATACACTGAGAAAATTAGTGTGAAGGTTTCTTAAAAATCTACAAATAAGACTACTGCATGAATCATCTATACCACTCTTGGACTTAAATCTGAAGGATTCTATATCATATTACAGAGATAATTACTCCTCCATGTCCACTGATGCTCTATTTACAATATCTAGGACATAAAATCAGCCTGGATGTCTATTAACTGTTAAATAGATGAGTAAGATGTGATATATATATATATATATATATATATATATATATATGTATCATATTCATATGTTGTGAAATAAAAGATATTCAGCTATAAATAACTGTTTAATTATACAGGAAGGAAAATGGGTAGAACTGGAAAATACTATATTAAGTGAGGTAATCCAGGCCCGGATAGGCAAACTCTACATGTTTTCTCTCCTAATTGAATCTGATCTTAAATTTTGTAGATTTGGGTTTAATTTGAGGTGTTTGTAGAGGTCTGTAAGCTACAAATGATACATGAGAAGCAGAAAGTGACGAGGCTATGGAGAGAGAGAGGAGAGTAGTGTACATGTGATGACAAAGTAGGGGAAGAATGTTGAGAGCAGATAGTTTAAGCAGGGGTGGGAGCAAAGGCATGGGGGAAAAGAGCAAGTCATACGTGGGTTAATCAAAGTGAACAAGTTTTGAAGAAGCTTTGTGGAAGTCCACTATCTTGTACATTAATTAAAAACATGATTTAACAACAACAGAAACAGGAGTATGACCAGAGGTCCTCTGCATGGATGGATAATGCTTCCTCCAGAAGAAATACATTATTAAATGAAAACCTCTGTGCTTAGTGTGGGATACTTCCCTATAAGTTATTGGTCAGGGAGGCCCCAGAGACATCTTAAACAACATAGGCTATTTTTAGTGTTGTTGTTATTATTGTTCTTGGATGCCCACTATAACTACAGATGAAATGACCTTATTGGTGAACACAACACAGTTTTGTTCCAAAACACACAAATCAAGCTGGAACTGACTAGGAAACTTCCTCTAAGCTGGCTAGCTTTCACAGTTTTGGAATGTGTTTTGCAGGCCACTGGAGGCAAAAAAAAATTATCAGTGCATTTATTCAGTGGTAGACTCTGCCTGATATAGCATTTAGCTGCCAGCCAAGATGAATCCATTCGTGAAATAGTGGTATGCATGTTATGGGGGTAACCAAGTGCTTTCTGATTAGATTTTAGGTCTGATCCACAGCAAAGAATTCATGCCTTGTAATGTAAACCTACTTGGTCAGAATCCTGTGGCTAAGAAGGTCATGCCACGGTGGGGTATGCCTACTATTGTCACTTTGTAAAATATACATGTTCTCAAATTGTCTTCTAAATATTTATGTTTACATCTATACATTGTGCTGCCTTCAACATGGTCAGAGAAGTTTCTCTCTTTTTTTTGCAGTGGGCAGCAATCCATGCAGAAACTCACACAAGGTCAAAGTTCTGGGAAGAGTAACTGTTGAGTGTTCGGTCCTATCATCAATCTTCCTACACCTGACACCCACAGAACACAGCGGTAGAGGGGGCTGAAAGAACATAAGCACCAGAGAAAGTCGGAGAGTACTACAAATGCTGTCTCCTGGACTTGACTTGGCTGTTGCCCTCTCGAACTCATGAACAACAGCAGTGGTGACCCACACAAGACATGCACAAGATCAAGCCAATCAACATCCCAGCATGCACTAGAGAAGGCTCATGAATTCCCACCCCAGCTAAGAAGCTTTTGACAGATGATGGCTGCTAGGGGAGGGGAAGTCATCTTCAAGTGTATGACCATGGGTAGGTAGTCCACTTGCTAGTGAATGGGTGCCCCACCCCCATGCACATTTGAGCATCACTTATTGGACTCATTGGGTCAGAAAAAAGGTAAGACAGGGAGATGGGATGGGGCATGTTCAGGAGTTTCTAGAGAGGTAGGAGGGAGGAGTAAGGGGTGGAAAAGATCAAGATATATTGTTTATAAGAAAATGCATGAGAAAGCATTAAGATGCCAATTAAGCAAAATACCATTAAAAACTAAAATGGTCACTTTCTTTGTAAATTTTTTACACATCCCTCTTTTAATCACAAGTAGTAGATGGATTCAGCATGTACACACACTAAAGCTGCAATTACATTAGAAAGCTGTTTTATAAATAATGCTCTTATTAATTCCTTGAGAATTTCATAGAATGTATTTTGACCATGTTCATGTCCCTTCCAAATACCTCTCAGATCCTCCCCTACAGCCCTGCCCACCCAACTTCACATTCTCTCCCTCCCTCTCTCTCTTTTTAAACCACTTTTTGAGGTTGTATTAATTGTAATACACCTTTATTGAATGTTACTATTTTATAGTGTTTAAAAGTATTTTCATTATCACCTTGGCCTGTACAAGTTGCTCAAAATGTGAAAGATATTTTTCTTCTTGAATGATTAATCTGGATTATAAAAAAATATATTAAATTTATAAGTAATTGTTAAGTATAAAATATTATTGAACTCACATTTAAAAAGAGATTTTATTTATGTTTGTTTTATATGTAAGAGTGTTTTGTCTGCACGTATGTAGGTATACCACATATGTGCAAGTTGCTCTCAGAGGAGAGAAGACAGCATTGAATTCCCCAGAACTGCAATTACAGAAGTCTGTGAGATAACATGTGTGTGCTGGGAACTGAACCTGGGTCCTCTGAAAGAGCTGGGCCATCTCATCAGACCACAAATCCTACCTTAATAAGTTGAACAGTCTGCTTCTGAGTGAGAACGGTGAGGTAGTAGCTAGCAGTCATCATTATTTACATGTCACCACTTAGGATATTCCCCTACCCCCAGAAACTAAAGGTTAAATTTTAAACTCCTTCTTCCATGTGCCTGGTTTATCTGTCTCAACATAAAAGTCATTTTTAGTCATCATTGGAAGACTCTGGAGGTGGTCTACAATACCTGTCTGTATTGTTTTTCCACTCTGTACCATTGCCCCCTACAGTGGGAAGCTACACTGTTTCTACCCTCTTGAATCTGGGATACCACTGAAATTTACACTGGCAGATACAATGCAGCCGAGGACCTTAAAACTTACAACCTTTTTGTTTCCTTGGAACCCTCTTATCACTATAAGAATAAACGGGGCTCAACTTAGAGTTGGAATGAGCAACAACTTGTGTAAACATAGGTCATATCCAAATGGACAGCTGTCGGAGCCAAAGCCTAAACCAAACAGCCCAGGTTGTCTTTGGCAACCTACAGAGTCATGAGCCAACCACATGTATACCAGTTAAAGTCTTGTCATTAGAATTTAGGATTGTCCTGCAAATTGTTCACAGCAGTAACTAACAGTCAACACATCTAAGTCAAAGATTATTTTAC